CCAGGCGGTGCCCGGCCCCTCACTCCACAGCCGGGGGTCCCAGTGGGTGAGGACAGCCTTAGAGCAGGCAGCTCTGACTCCAGCACCCAGAGAGCTGGCTGGCTGGCATCCCTCCTCCCAGGGACCCCACGGTGGCCTCCCCTCCAAAATCCACCCTGCTCAGCTTTTCAGGGTGTCCCACGCACAGCTCGGAGCTGGCATGTGGGGACGGCCCAGAAAGGAGATTCTCTGACCCCAGGAGGGGATAAAGCAGCTGAGAAGGGGAAAAACATTCCCAGAGCATCACCTGAGGGGCAGCCCTGGAGAAAAGGAGCAGGACCCTCCTCTGCCCCCGGCCAGCCCCCCGCAGCCCTCACCTCCGCAGCTCCTCGGGGGGCACGGCCCCCCGGCGCGAGTTCACCCACTGCTGCAGCTGCGTCATCGAGCTCTTGCGCTGGGCGATCTTCTCAGGGTTGGTGCGGGGGGCGAAGCCCCGGCGGTGGGCCACGCTCTCCCCATCGGGCGGGGGGTATGCGGTGCTGCCAGGGCGGCTGGGTGATGAGTATGGCCAGCCGTTGGGCTGGGGCGGCCGCTCCACGCTCGCCGGCACCCGGGGCGCCTCGGGGTAAGGACTGCCGGGCTCTGAGGGCATCTCCTGCCCAGCGATGCCATTGGCTTTGGCCAAGGGCTCCTTCTTGCCCTCCGTCCTCTCTGACTTCCTCTCGATCTTCTCTGAGCCACGGCCGTCGCCTTCTCCCCGGGTCTTGGTGTCAGGGTCGGCTTTGGGGTGCTCGCGGTGGGCGGCGTTGCGGTGGTGGTGGTGGTGTTTGCTGGGGGGGATGTTTTCAGAGTCTGGCTTCTCGTGCCTGGAGGGTGCCGAGACAGGAGAGAGGGTTACCTTTCCTTTGCAATGCCCCTGGCATGGCCGGTGACGTCCCGTCCCTCCCTCAGCCTTGGGGGGCCAATGCTCCCCCAGCTCCCTTCTCCAGAGGGACCCTCACGCTCCCAGGAGGTCCCTGGTCACGATACATAGCCCCTCCACCCCATCTCCAAGAAACCAGGGGAGAGGGGTGGCACGGGGAGATAGCAGGCGCTGACCTCTGAGTCGGGGGGATCTGCACCCGGGCGGCTTCGCCCATGGCTTGGATCCAGGACTCCTGCTCCTCCGTGTTCTCGGCGCTGAAGAAGTAGGTCCGGATGCCAGCATGCTCGGCCTGGGGAGACAGGGACTGCTCATTACTTGCTGGCATCTCCTCCACCCAGCACACCGTCACCTGCAGGGAGGCAGAGAAGCGGGGAGAGAGAGACAGGAGGGTGAGAGCTCCATTTCCACCCTGGCATGAGGTCCTGCTGCGGCAGGAGAAGCCAGGCACGGTCCTTCCCTCCCCTGCCCGAGCCTCACGGCCACATGCATCCTCGGCGGCACCGAGCGGGAGGAAGGCTCTGTGGGCAGAGCCAGCGCCAGCCCTCATCCCCTCGCAGGGGATCCCCCGGTGCCACGAGTCCCCTGCGGTCACCTCCAGCGATGCTCGGGACCAGCCCTCCCCAGGGTCCCGCGCCGGAGGAGCAGCACCCCGGTGCAAAGGTTGCTGCACCCAGCACTGAGCGGGTCCCCGCGGGGCGCAGGGGGCAGGCAAAGGGACACGTCCCAGCGAGAGCGGCAGCGCCGGATGGAGCATTATCCTTCATGCAGGGTTAGGGGGAAGGTGGCTTCTGGGCCCAGACAACATTTTAGGGGAAAAAGGTTCGCTTCTGGTCCAAGATGTTGGTGCCCACTCTCCACCCCACGCTGGAAGGCAGGTCTGGCTATTCAGGGCCTTTTCAAAGCTTCCACCTTCCCCCTCTCTGGAAAGGGACGGGAGGCAGCGAGGAGGAAGGAAAGGGAGAAAGCAGGAGGTTTCTCCCCCTGAACGATAGGAAATGGGGTTCTGATTAAAACCCTCCCTTGGGTTTCCATCTATCCCTTCCCCAGAGCATGCAGCCGCCATGCCCAGCTGCAGGGTCACCTCCTGCAACCCTCATGCACTCCTGCCTCTAAAAGCTCTGCAGCCAGAGCAAAAGTTCAAACCAAACCGATTCCTCCCCTGGATTAGTGCGAGCGGGGTGAGCAGAGCATGCTGGCAAGCCTGCGGGTCCCTCACCCTTCTGCATGCACCAGAAACACAAGAAGGTACTACCTAGGTGGTGGCTGGGTGCTGGCATGGTGGACGGGCGTGAAGAGAGACCGCCTGTCCGGGGATCCTCACCCGTGGAGAGAGGAGGAAACACAGACAAGGGTCAAGCTGTGCAGCGGGGCAGGAGCGCGGGCGCCGCGCCACAGCCCCCCCCCAGCCGTTGGGACCCTCTCTACCCTTCTCTGAACAAAGCCATCCCCCAAAACTCTGCAGGGACGCGCCTGCAGAGCTCAGTTCGCGGGCAGCGGCTTTGCAAGGCTCTTTCCCCACCGGTGTCACAAGCCAAGAGACATTTCAACACCCCCAGGCCACTTCTCTGCTCTCACCTGCAGAAGCTGCAGGCAGAGACACCTCGGCGGCTGCCAGCATCAGCACAGGCACAAGGGAGAGCCCATGCTGCCACTTGCCAGCGCTCATCCTTAAACCGTGCTCAGCTGCAGCTTAAATGCAGGTTTAAAGGAGGCAGCTACAAAAATCCATCCCTTAGATTGGAAAAACTCTGCTGCAGTGCCCTGCAGGGACCCCAGGCGCCGGCTCCTGCCGTGCTTATGGGCAGGAAGGTGCACGCTGGGTTTTTGCACAAGCGTACACGAGTGCAAGCCAGCCCGTGCATCGGTCCGTCACCAAGCGAGTGCTAACGCAACCCTCCCAGGGGCCGTGGGCAGCACAAGCAGCTGTGCCGGTTGAAGGTGCATGGTGATGCCGACAAGTGCCGCGCGGTGCCGGGGAAGCTCAGCCCCTGCTCTGAGCAAGGGACAGCCAAGGTCTGCTGCCGGGGCTGGGTGCGGGAGAGCCCCGGCTGCAGCAGCCGCCCTCCGCCTCTTGCTGCTCTGCTTTCCAACACCCACTGCTCCCTTCCGCCCCCCCCCGGCAGCGCGGGCGGAGGACCAGCGACTCGTTACAGGCTACCCCCTTGCAATTACGTTTCCATTTGCACGCCAGTCAAAACAGGCTAAAAAACAAAGAGGAGTTGGGGACACCTCTCTAGGTCTGGCTCTGGGAGTGCTGCCGAGAAGCGCGGCAGTTGCCGGCAGGGACAGGCTGGCCGGGAGCAGCGATGCGGAGGGGAAAGCGGGACACGGAGCGGGCCGAGAGCATCACTGGCGAGGGCAGCTCTGCTGCTCCCCTGCACCCAGCGCCTCCCCGGGCTGGGGAGCAGCGATGCACCCCAAGGGGCAGAGCCCAGGAGCATCTCAGGCCTGGGGTGGGTGATGACCTTGGAGAGGCTGCTTTGCCCCATGCGTGCCTCAGTTTCCCAGGCAGAAGGCACATCCGTGCAGGGTATCCCTGGGGGTTACTGCAGTCACTCCTCTCCCCAGCTGGCTCCATGCCCCGTCACCAAAAAAGCAAGAAGAGGGAACAACAGGGACCCTGCGAGCATCACCGCCACCCCAGCGCTGTCCCGGTGCCCCATCCCCTCCAAGCCCCGGCACAACCATGCACTGACCTTGAACGTGTGCTTCTTTTTTTTTGCTGATGTTGTCGGAGGGCTGCACAGCCGCCACGCGGAAGCTGAGGAGGGGGATGCTGCCCAGGATGCTCTCCTCCTTCTCGTCTGGTGGGCAAACGCAGGGGTTACACGCACGGAGGGGCTGGGAGCCCCGGCTACCCCCCAGCAAAGACCCACGAGCTGCTGTGGGGACACGGGCCCATCGCTCCTTCCCGTGGCAGCCCACCTGTGGGAAACCGCTGCCTGCCTGTTGCTCCCCGGCAGCTCTGTGCAGCTCGGCTGGGCTCGCACAACAGCCTGCTCAATTATTCATGCCCGCCCTGGCCTGCGCTGCCAGGGCTGAGCCCAGCGAGCTGCCAGGGAAGGCGCCCGCATTAACCCCTCGGGTCCCCGGTGTGGCAAATGCCCACACAAAGGGGTGCTGTGCATGGCCACCGCTCCCCGGCAGGCTGTCACTGCATGGCCACTGCTCCCTGGCGGGCTGTCACCCCCAGACCCCACCAAAACCTGCTCTGAGCCTGGTAATGGCCCGGGTTCACATGGAAGCACCTGGCTGGTGGCCACCAGGTCCTGCCAGGGGGGACAAGCTGCGGGGGCCCCCGGGGGCGGGTCCCCCCTGCCGTACCTTTGTAGTAGAAAAGGCAGCGATCCACCAGCACGAACCAGCGCTTGTTCCACTGCTTCACCCCCGAGCTGGCCTGCGAGAGAGGGGCAGTGAGAGCAGCACCCACCTGGGGAGGGGGTGCTGCCGCAGGCGGCCGGGAAGGGGAGGGATGGCACAGCCCCAGGGGGGCAGTGGCATGGCGGGGGCTCGGGTACCTGCTTGTCGAGCCAGCCGCTTTTGGTCACCGCGGCGTTGGGGTTCCTTTTCATGGAATTGGAGCGCTTCCCGAAGGCGATGCCCTTGCGGGAGGAGCGCGAAGCCTGCAGAGGGGGAGAGGAGCTGCTCAGTCCCTGGGGGGGCCCCCGGCACCCCGTCTCTGCTGCCGCCTGCCATGCCACACGGCTCTGGGCACCCACCCGGCCTCCGGCGCGCTCTGGGGGCACCTCTGACACCATGGTGTGGTTGGAGGGCTCGCTGGTGATGGTCGCCGGTCGCTTGCCGCCCGCTTTGCTTGACATGTCCAAGGTCAGTCTGCGGCACAGGAGGAGAGCTGAGTCAGCAGAGCTGCGTTTCTCCACCCCACAGGAGCTGGCCCCCAGCATCCCTGTCCCGGGCACCGGCCCCCCATGCCCCAGCCCACCTTCGTCCCCCACCACAACTCACTCCCAGGCCCTGAAACCAGGGGAGTCGGGAGCCAACCTACTTTTGCAAGTCAAGTCTTGAGCTGTCCTCGGGGACCTGTCCCGTCACTGGGTGCAGGAACGTGTTCCGCCTTTCATTGTGGCTGTGGGAGACAACGGCGGGGCGGTGGTTAGCATCTCCCATCCCCGTCCCCCCCCAGGAACCCTTTGCCTTTGGCACCACATTTGCTGCTCCAGCCCCAGCGTTTCGCTGTCCCACGCCTGCCGCGGTGCCGGGGCTGGCTCCCTGCGCCCGGCCCCGAGCATCGCCCTCCCCTACGCCCCCGCTGACCCCACGCTTCAGATCTGCTCAGCACATTTCAGCGGCGTTTCCCAGAAAGTGCTTGCCTCGCTGGGAGCTGAAACGAGGTCTCTGGTGGCCGAGCCCTCGTTCCTCCTGCTGGACACATCCCGGACATTACCATAAACCCCACTCCCGCCCTCAGAAGTCACTGCAGAAGCAGCGGCAGCGATGGCCCATCCTGGGCTGTGCCAGCAGCGACGTCCCCAATGTCACATCCTCCCCTTCGGCTCACTGCTTTTACAGCCATTTGCCAAAACACCTTGAGACAGGCTAAGAGAAGGGTCACCTGGCCACATGGGGCTGTGCACCACACAGACCCCGACCACCAGCCCAGGACCCACCAGCACAAGCTCTTGCAGCTGGATCAGGCCCAGCTTGGCCCCAGCCCTGGTGCTGCTTCGGCGACGCTGGGGTGCAGCCAAAGGCGGCCGCTGCCGGCGGTGCAGGACTCCCTGGCAGCGCCGGGAGGAAGGAGGCAGGGCTCCTGCCGGGCTTGGCTGGCAGCGTCTGCCGTGTCCCTGCCTCGTCCCGCAGAGCCGGTATTGCCGGGCGCCCCAGCACCTCGCTGCTCCGGCTGGGGAATCCGCTCACACGCTGCTTCCCGGGGGCCCTCACTGCCGGAGCTGCGTCAGGAGGAAAGGACAAGGAGCACCCGCAGATTCAGGGCTCCATCCCGGGAAGTTTGCCTTGGACCCTGTCCCTGTGACAGCCCTCCTTCCCAAAGCTGCCAGGCACCAGGACACGGGTGCCCCCAGCCACCCGCGAAGCCAACGCGCCAACAGCCCGGAACGCTGTTGAACTTCTGCGTGTCAGCAAAACAGGGGAAGTTTGAGCAAGAAAACGCAGCTGCCAAGACCATCCCATCCACACACGCTTCACCCCGAACCTGGGCTCCAGCCAGGCTCTGAAGATATTAACTGCTTTCTGTCCAAAAAAGCCTCGCCGAGAACTGCTCCCCCTTGCAGGTCCCATCCTGCGCCCTGCTGCGGATCCGCTCTCCTCCGCCAGCCCTCCCCCTCGCTTGGGGTCACCTTAAAAACCTGGGCAATGTGTATGCACCCCGCAACGAGGGGCAGCACTCGCTCCCCAAACCCCCCCAGCACCGGGCTTTCCTGTGCCATGACCGACACAAGGTATCTGCCGAGAGAGCCTGCCCAGCCCACGCTCCCACAGCAGCGAAGGGGATTTCTGTCACCCAGGGCTGGATCCGCTCCTGGACCATTTGCCCCCGGCAGGTGACTTTGGAGGGGCACAACGTGGCGGTGCTGGGGCAGGTGCCGGGCCCCCCATGATGCTGACACATGGGGAGGGTGCAAATGCTGAGCGAGCAGCACCCCGACTGCCCCAGCCCTGGAAAGTGGGGGCTGCCAGGACCTGTCAGTGTGCCCGAACCCCAGCCGGGGACATCCCCCCAACCCTGCTCACAACCCCACGCCACAGCAGGTTTCTGTTCCAGCAGGCTGGATTCTCCCCCCG